GATTTTATTTATTTATTTATGAGAGACAGAGAGAGAGAGAGAGGCAGAGACACAGGCAGAGGGAGAAGCAGGCTCCACACAAGGAGCACGATGTGGGATTCGATCCTGGGACCTCAGGATCACACCCTGAGCTGAAGGCAGACACTCAACTGCTGGGCCACCCAGACGTCTCTGTGGAGCCTACTTAAGGCTTACTTAAAAAAAAAAAAAAAAAATCCTTCAACTCATATAGATACCTTAACCACCACCCACCCCCTGCCCAAAATGAATGCTTTTTAAATTGTAATGAGAGGGCAGCCCCGGTGGTTCAGCAGTTTAGCGCTGCCTTTGGCCCAGGGTGTGATCCTGGAGACTCGGGATCAAGTCCCACATCGGGCTCCCTGTATAGAGCCTGCTTCTCCCTCTGCCTGTGTCTCTGCCTCTCTCTCTCTGTGTCTCTCATGAATAAATAAATAAAATCTTTAAAAAAAATTTTTTTTGCACTTTAGCAGACAACACGCAGACCTCTGACCTCTGACACCACTCCAGTGGGTGACGAGGAGTGCCATCTTGTTATTGCCAGATTGAGTGGAAGTCCTGGATTTTTACTCTTGCTCCTTTGACAGTGGAGGGAGAAGGGAGGAGGAGTCGTTACTTCTAGGTGGGGATGCGGGGCAGGGTTCAGGCTGTCCATTAGGCCTGAAAGTGGTGGAGCATCTTGTTAGTGCTTTCCATGTGGCTTCCACGGACGCCGAGAAGGGGGTGGCCTTGTTACTGCTGAGCTATGGTGGAAGTCCTCATGTCCACCTGGCCTCCTCTGACACCATGGTGGGTGCAGGTGGAAGTCCGAGCTCCTCTTGCCATCTTCACTGACCCTGCAAGGGGTTGGGGTGAGGAGTGAGCTGGAACACATCACTACAGCCTGGCAAGCGTGGAAGTCTAGGCTCTCTAATTGGCCTTTGCTGGGGAGATGGCATTGCCATCACAGTTTTCCCATGACGGTTGGCCCGAGTTGAATGACTATTGTGTTAAAGTATCCGTCTTGCTAGGCTGACCCTTTCTATTCCCTTAGGTAGAGAAAGCCAGCTTTTCTTAAGTGTTAGTTCTGTCTCTGCCCATTGGCATTTCTAGATTGCTGGCTTCTTTAGTATTCAGTTTGGGATATAAGAAGCAAAGAGAAAACCCAGGGAACCAACCAGTGAGGACTCAATCTTGAGTCCCTAAATTCCTAGCCAGTGGATCTACCAGTCTGCCTCTCTCCACCTTTCTTTTTTTTAAGATTTTATTTATTTATTCATAGAGACCGAGAGAGAAAGAGAGAGAGAGAGAGAGAGAGAGAGGCAGAAGCAGGCACCATGCAGAGAGCCTGACATGGGACTTGATCCGGGGTCTCCAGGATAATGCCCTGGGCTGCAGGCGGCGCTAAACCGCTGTGCCACCGGGGCTGCCCTCTATCCACCTTTCAGATATGTAAGTATATCTATCTATCCCAAGGTTTTTAGTTACACTAAATGGGAAGAATAGGGGAAAGTGTGTCTCTTACACATCTTCCTGAAACTAAGTCTAATATTTTTCATTTGATATATGATTCTATTTTCCTAAAATTATTTCTTTCTGCCTATATATCTACCTAGAAAAATTTTCACCTGGCCAAAGATGATCATTTCTGGGTGGTAAAATTTCAAGTGAAATTTTTTTAGCTTTTATTTTTAATATTGAGATATGCTGTTTTTCAAAAAGAATAAAGGTATTAAAAAAAAAAAAACAAACCAGTATGTGGTTTGGGGAAGGTTGTTTGGGAGATATTAATATCTGCAATGAAATGTTTACATCCTAGAAAACCCAGCTAATTTTCTTTCTGAGTGATTGTAATCAGTTAAGAAGAATTATTTTCCTGTTGTTTCCCAGTGTGGTTTACTTCTCATCATCATTTGGCAATTTGAATATCCAAGAGGTACTATTTATTGACTTAAAAAACAAATCTTGTCTTCAAATTCATTTGAGGGGGCAGCCTGGGTGGCTCAGCGGTTTAGTGCCACCTTCAGCCCAGGGCCTGATCCCGGAGACCTGGGATCTAGTCCCACATTGGGCTCTCTGCATGGAGCCTGCTTCTCCCCCTGCCTGTGTCTCTGTCTCTCTCTCTCTCTCTGTCTCTCTCTCCCTGTGTGTGTCTCTCATGAGTAAATAAAATCCTTAAAAAAAAATTCATTTGAGGAACAGAGACACTAGGCGTGTATGTACTGTTACTATTCAAAATATAAGTGAAATTTTAGGCAAATGAGAAAAGGCTACATAGGCATAAAAAAATCATTCCAGGGATCTCTGGGTGGCGCAGCGGTTTGGCACCTGCCTTTGGCCCAGAGCGTGATCCTGGAGACCCGGGATCAAATCCCACGTCAGGCTCCTGGTGCATGGAACCTGCTTCTCCCTCTGCCCATGTCTCTGCCTCCCTCTCTCTCTCTCTCTCTCTCTGTATGACTGACTATCATAAAAAAATTTAAAAAAAATCATTCCATTTTGAATGCCATGGAGTCGTTCAATTTGGAATGAACAATTATATGAATGGCATTTCAACTTGAAAAGATCGTGAGATTCTTTTGAATAATAAACTATGAGTTCTCAAAAAAGAAAAAAAGAGATATTCTTTATGAAACGATCCACCAAAGGTTTTGCTCTGCCCATCTTATTAAAACATTCTGGGACGCCTGGGTGGCTCGGCAGTTTAGTGCCTATCTTCCACCAGGGGGCGTGATCCTGGAGTCCCAAGATTGAGTCCCACATCAGGCTCCCTGCAGGGGGTCTGCTTCCCCCTCTGACCGTGTCTCTGCCTCTCTCTCTGTGTCTCATGATTGGATGAATAAAATCTTTAAAAAAATAAAATAAAATATTCTAACATATACATACAAATTTATGTACAGTAAAATCGTAGACAATCTAGCATAAAACAAGTTTGCCTATAAATGCATCTTTCCCCTCATGCACTTGTAAGAAATGTGCTTTGAGAACACACTGGCCCTCAGAGGTGGGTGGGTTTCTGATTTCTTAAAGAATTCAGAACTCTAAAGTGAAAGCCCGGCTATCTGGTGCTCTTGAATTCCAAGGAAATGGATTGCTGCATATGGCTCTAATAAAGTTTTAACATAAACGTCTGTGGAAAATCTGAGGGTAATCTTGTAGAGGGATATTAAATTTGCGGGGTCTGTTGGCTGTTTACCCCTGAAGTGTTAGGTCCCCATCTGGTAAATGAGGTGAATTCGTTGACACTTTTTTCCTAAGGAGTCTGGAGAGCTCTAAGGATTGGTAAGAGGGGCTGCCTTTCCCTTTTTAAGCCCTGGTTTAAATCTAACCCGGGTTAACCTTGTGACCCTGAATTGTTGGTGTGAAATGAGGTGGTGATCTCAAGTCTTGCCTTAAGGAAACACCTTTCACATAGAAATTGGCACTAATCGGTCTCCCTGTTGACAGGCTTAGCCGAGAGGCCATGATCGAGTAGGCAGTGAGAACAGAAACTAAATGACCCCACCACGGCGCAGCGTGTAGGCAGGCGGACACCGAGGCCAGCCACCAGGTCTGCCCTCCTCCAGCAGCATGGGACATGGACAGCACGGGAGCTGGCCCCAGGAGGCCCAAGGTGTGCCCTAAGAACGCTTTCCATATGTCTGGCCCTGTTCTGCAAAGCAGCCTGGGCGCTCAGAGGGCTCTAGACCAGGATTTTGCAAACTTTTTCTGTAAAGGGCCAGAGAGGAAATAGTTTTGGCTTCCCAGACCATCCAGACTTTGTTGCAGCCGCTCAACTCTACCAACAAAAGCAGCCACACCTAATACCTACATGACTGAGTGTGCTGATCTGCCAACATAGCTCGGTAGACATGGAAAATTGAGTTTTATGTAATTTTCACATGTCGAGAAATATTCTTCTGGGGGGTGCCTCAGTGGCTCAGTTGGTTAAGCGTCTGCCTTCAGCTCAGGTCATGATCTCAGGGTCCAGGGATGGAGCCTCGCATGGGGCTCCCTCCTCAGAAGTCTGCTTCTCCCTCTCCCTCTGCCCTTCACCCCTGCTTGTGCTCACTCAGTTGCTCTCTCTCTCTTCTCTCTCAAATCTTAAAAAGAAATAAAAAGAAAAAAAAATCTTTTTTCTCCAAGCATTAAAAAATGTAAAAATTGGGACATCTGGTTGGCTCAGCAATTGAGTATCTGCTTTCAGCTCAGGGCATGATCCTGGAGTCCTGGGATCAAGTCCCACATTAGTCTCCCTGCGGAAACCTGCTTCTCCCTCTGCCTGTGTCTCTGCCTCTCTCTCTCTCTCTCTCTCTCTCTGTCTCTCATGAATAAATAAATAAAATATTTTTAAAAATAAAAATAAATAAAAATGTAAAAATTATCCTTAGCTCACAGGCCATACAAAAACATTTTGGCTCACCATCTGTAGTTTGTGACTTCTGCTTTATTTATTTTATTTTATTCTATTTTTTAATTTATTTACTTTTCTGCCGTAATTCTTTTTTAAATTCAAATATAGTCAACACCCAGTGTTATATTAGTTTAATTATATTAGAATCAATATAATGGTTCAACAATTCTTTTTTTTTTAAAGATTTTATTTATTTACTCATGAGAGACACAGAGAGAGAGAGAAAGGCAGAGACACAGGCAGAGGGAAAAGGATGCTATGTGGGACTTGATCCCGGGACTTTAGGATCACGCCCTGGGTGGAAGGCAGATGCTCAACCGCTGAGCCACCCAGGTGCCCCATGATTCTCAGTGCTCATCAAGATATGTGTATTCTGGGGGAGCCCAGTGGCTCAGTTGGTGAAGCATCTGCCTTTGGCTCATATCATGATCTCAGGCTCCTGGGATCCAGCCCCAAGTCAGGCTCCCTGCTCAGCAGGAGTTTGCTTCTCTCTTTGCCTGCCCTCCCACCCCCGACCCTTAGCTCATGCTCCTTCTCTCTTAAATAAATAAATAAAACCTTTAAAAAGAAAGAGATGTGTACTCTCAATCCCCTTTATCTATTTCACCCAAAAAATGTGGAACAAGTCACAGATTTGTGTGTCATCCTTGCTCAGGGGCTGTGATAATCTCTATCACTTCCATTTCAGTATATATACTGCCAAGGCAAGCACTAGTGACCTCTGTCTCAGACCTAGAGTTGGAGATCTCCCTCACTTCCACTCCTGGCTCAGTCACTAACTAGCTATGAGACACTGGGCACTTGGTTAGCTTCTGTGGGCCTAAGTTTCTTTATCATGAGTGTGTGTGTGTGTGTGTGTGTGTGTGTGTGTGTGTGTTTCTTTTTAAGATTTTATTTATTTATTCATGAGAGACACAGAGAGAAAGAGAGGCAGAGACACTGGCAGAGGGATCAGGCCCTGGGCTGAAGGCAGTGCTAAACCCCTGAGCCACCCGGGCTGCCCTATCTAGTGTGTTTTGACAGAATGGGGAGGAATATGAACAAATGAAATGAAGTTTCTTTTAGCTATAATTGTAGATTTCCTGATTCTATTACAGGAGCGTAAGTCACCCCAAGCAATGTTACGTATGTGGAATAGAAATTAGTTAATTTAAAGGACATACATAGGAGTGCTGGGGTGACTCAGTCAGTTAAGCATCTCACTCTTGGTGACTTGGCTTCAGCCCAGGTCCTTATCTCAGTGTCTTGGGATGAAGCCCTTCAATGGGCACTTGGCAGAGGGGTTGCTTGAGATTCTCTCTCTCCCTGTCCCCCTTCTTTAAAATAAATAAATAAAAATCTATAAAAGCTAACACATACATCTTAATATTCTCAGTGTAATTCTTTGTCCCAGTAAGAGGAGCAGTGTCAATTCTGAAAGCAAGACCAAGATTTAGAGACTGTTACCTCTATTTGAAGGCTCTCACCCCTTCTGTTTTTCCAATGCTATTTTTTTAAAATATTTAATTTATTTATTCATGAGAGACACACACAGAGAGGCAGAGACACAGGCAGAGGGAGAAACAGGCTCCATGCAGGGAGCCCAATGTGGGACTCGATCCTGGGATTCCAGGATCAGGCCCTGAGCCTACAGCAGATGTTTAACCGCTGAGCCACCCAAGCAATCCCGCTATTCTTTTTCTTTCCTAGGTTGTTGGGGTTTTTTTTCCCCTTTTTTCCTTTTTCCTTTTCTTTCTTTCTTTCTTTTTTTCTTTTTGTGGATGGGGAAAGTATGATCCCAGAGTTTTGTAGAAAACAGAAATTGTTTTCCTTCAAAGATGTTATTTTAAAATATTAATGTTTTTATGTCTAAATTGACAAGTGTGTTTTATAAGCACTCTGCTAACCAGATGTACCTTATTGTAAGAGGTGATTACCAAGGATTAGTAATCATTTTTACTTTAGATCAGAAAAGAAGTTCAGCAAACAACTTACCCAACACACTGCTGTTTCTTTTTAAAAGGTGGAGGTATTTTATTTTATTTTATTTTTTAATTTTAGGTAAGTAAGGTATTTTAAGAGCATATTCATTTCTTCATAAATCACCTTCATGTATCCCTTTGTTTTTCCTTTTGTTCTTTGTATCAAGTACTTAGTCAGTGTTCCTATTTCTCATAAATTGCCTCACATTTGTTTTGTTCCAATTAGGATCCAAATAAGGTCCACACTCTCACTATTGCATTAGTTGACATTACATTCTTTTTACTTTATGCTCTTCTCTTCTGCTTTTTCTCATCATAAATTTGTTACAAAGGCACTAGATTACAAGCTATCTGAGAAAATGGCATGTCTCCTCTATCTCCTCCTCTTAATTACCCAAAGCAGCATCTGGAATTTAGCAGGCTCAATAAGTACCTTTTCTTGTTGTATTATAGGTATGTCTACAAAGCCACCTGTTTTATTTGGATCCTCTGGAGAATGCTGAATGAACCACATCTGTGCAGTCCTACACCAGGGCTGTTTGGCACCAACTTGAACATCCAGTTCTCCCCTTATCATACTATGTTTTTTTTTTAAGATTTTATTTATTTATTAATGAGAGACACACACACAGAGAGAGAGAGAGAGAGAGAGAGAGAGAGAGAGAGAGGCAGAGACACAGGCAAATGGAGAAGCAAGCTCCATGCAGGGAGCCTGACACAGGACTCGATCCCCGGTCTCCAGCATCACGCCCTGGGCTGAAGGCGGTGCTAAATCACTGAGCCACCCAGGCTGCCCTACTGTGTTCTTTACCATCTTGTTCAGAGAACTGTTTTCTGGCTCTTGAGCCAAGCTGTCGGGGGCATTCTAGAGGGTCGACAGATGAATACGAGGTCATCCTGGATTCCTGTTAAGAGACTTAAGCAACTTGAGGCGTCTGGGTGGCTGAGGCAATTGAGCATCTGACTCTTGGTTTCATCTCAGGTCATGATCTCAGGGTCATGGGATTAAGCCCTGCATCAGATTCTGGAGTCTGCTTGAGATTCTCCTTCCCCTTCTGCCCCTCCACTCTCTCTTTCTTCTTTCTCAAATAAACAAAAGTTTTTAAAAATTTATTTGACAGTGAGAGAGAGAGAGAGAGAGAGAGAGAGAGAGTACAAGCTGGTAGAGGGAGCAGCAGGGAGAGGGAGAAGCAGACTCCCCACTGAGCAGGGAGCCTGACAAGGGACTCAATCCCAGGACCCTGGGATCATGACTTGAGCCAAAGGCAGACGATTTACCAACTGAGCCACCCAGGCACCCCATAAATAAATCTTGAAAAAAAAAGGCTTAAATAACTGGTAACAGATTGTGAGAAGGAACAAAGCAACATTTGTTTCTCAATTCAAGATAATTTCAGAGTGTGAGGGAAATCCCTTAGCATCTTTTCTTCTCTCTTCCCCAAGAAAGCAGAGAAAAGAGACTCATAGCTACCAGGCAGGGGCCTCACTGGAAACAGAGTTCCTTTGAGATCTGGGCATCTGGAGTGGGTCCAACTCATTTTTGGTGGGATTTGCATGTAAATAGTGGTATATGAGGCCCAGCTTTACACCCTGTGTGTAATAAACCTGAAGAGAAATGGTTTCTCCTTTAAAATCCTGAAACTGGGTTTGGCATCTTGCCTTAGGCCTGCATACTTTACTCCTTTTTTTTTTTTTTTTAGGTGTAGGGAAAGAGTTAATCTGATTTTCCAGGTTTAAAATAAGAATTTTGCTGACTTGCTCTCTTTCCAGGGCACTTCATTGCACCTATTTAACAGGCTGGTGTTGTGGCTTTTTTTTTTTTTTTGAAAGTAATATTTTCCAGCTTTCAGACCTGCCCCCTGACCCCAGGGTCAATGGGGAAGTGGAATGATGGAGTCTCTTCATTTTGGGTAGAAAGCTTATTGGCTCTGAGGGCCCCAGTACAGAAGAGCCAGCTGCCTTAACTTCTTTTAAACCTCCTCCTTCTCTTTTCTGTAAAATTTTTGGCAAGTATAGAAAAGCTCAAAGAAAGAAAGAAAAATTGCTTGTAATGCCACCATCCAGAAATGATTTCTGTTAATGATAATATTCCAGTTCCCTCTCTCCAAACAAAAATGGGAATATTGGGGTGTTGTAAGTGCTTTATGAGTGTTAGTTCCTTTAACCAGTGGGAAGGGGCAGAGTACAGGAAGCTTGTATTGGCTTCTGACAAAGACTTCTCCTCCTCCTTCTCTTCCTCCTCCTTCTTCAGATTTTACTTATTTATTTGACACACAGAGAGAGAAAACAAGCAGGGAGAGAGAGAGAGGGAAAAGCAGACTCCTCACTGAGCAGGGAGCCCACTGTGGGGCTCAGTCCCAGGAACCTGAGATCATGACCCAAGCTGAAGGCAGATTCTTAACCACTGAGCCACCCAGGTGCTCCCTGACAAACACTGTCCTTGACCAAACTTTGGTCAGGCTCCTCTAAACTTTTCTTTCTTCTTTCCTTCCTTCCTTTCTTTCTTTCTCTCTTTTCTCCTTCTCCTTCTTCCTGTTTCTTTAAGTAGTCTCCACACCCAACACAGGATTTGAACTCAGTACCCTGAGATCAAGAGTCCCATGCTCTATTGACTGAGCCAGCTAGGTGCCCCTCCTCTAAGTCCTTCCTTCCTTCCTTCCTTCCTTCCTTCCTTCCTTCCTTCCTTCCTTCCTTCCTTCCTTCCTTCCTTCCTTCCTTCATCTTTCCTTCCTTAGTAGGCTCCATGCCCAGTGTAGAGCCAAGCATGGGGCTCAAACTCACGACTCTGAGATCAAGACCTGAACTGAGATCAAGAGTTGGATGCTAAAAATAAAAAAATAATAAAAAAAAAAAGAGTTGGATGCTTAACCGACTGAGCCCCTCAGGTGCCCTAGGCCTTCTTTCTGAGTAGGCCTCCAACTTGGACCCCATTCTGTCTTTTGCCTGCCCAGCCCAGCCATAGCAAGAATCCTGCAAAGGTCGGTTTTGTAGGAACACCCCACCTTTGTTGTATAAATCCTTGACCTCCCTTTAGCAGGAGTGCTCTTACGCCATTTTGGCAAGAATCCCCCACCCCCACCCCTTGATGTCCCTTATTAGTAATTTCTGTTCACTGACTCCCTCACTCTGCTTCTTGGTCAAAATCCCCAGCTTCTTTGCTGTCTTTGCTTTACAACTGTCTGCTGTCTAGACTTTGCAATGGTCTTGAATAAAGCTTTCCTTACCATTTTACAAGTGTCAGAATCATTTTTTCTTTAGTACTTCTCACATCAGAACCAGGGGATTTCTTGTATTTTTAGCCTTTAAGTGTTCCAAACTAAGGATCTTTTTTTCCTCCAGTATTTATTTCTTTATTGGCCGTTTGCCATTAGAGAGATAAAGAAAAGAACGGTCTAAAGGCAAATCAGAATCAGCTTTGGGATATACAGCTCTCAGGCTCTAAATTTGCATCCCTTAGTATCTCATTGGACTCAGTAACTATTTTTTTTTCAGTAACTATTTAAAACACAATAAGGTTTCTATCTTTGGGTGTGAAAGTGGAGTTATAGAACCAGGAAGCTGGAAGGGACCCTAAGAAGTTCTTCAGGTTGGTTAAGCGTTTTTGCTCTCTTTTTACAGATAAGGCTACTGTGGTCCAGAGTCTGTCTCATTTCAGTAGCTAAAATAATGGAGGTAATTTGTTTCGTGTGTATGTACACATCCGTGAATGTGTATTTTAAGAAATGACATCAGGGGTGCCTGGGTGGTTCAG